GCAGGCGCTTAAATACCGTAAAGCCGTGGCCTGCTTAAATCCCCCCCGCATGCGTCCAGAAGCAAGGGGGCGGTGCAATAGTGCTGCTGGTGTGAAATGAGAAATAGATTTTTCCTTCTTTACACTGTGCATTCATGCCTTTTCAGTTCGGCATCATTGTCTTTAATGTAATTCCTATTATTCTTGAAACGTTAATCTTGGTGCTGGAAAGATGCAAAGTGACTGCCACTGTGCAATTGACAAAACGAAGCAAACAATTATTAACTGAACTTGTAACTGAAGCCAATTAATCGCTAGGTAACTGAAGCAAAAAAAACATTAAGAGCACAAGATGGCAGACATGAAGCAGGCACAAGTGTGGTATTTCGAAGCAGCACTATTAAAATACGCAGGACTTCGAGAAAACTTATTGCATAGAAACTGACAGGCTGAAGATTCATAGCAATATGTATGTAAAATGAAATAAAATATATTCAGGAGATTCACCGATCTGGCAGAAATATTGAAAAATATGGATATTGTGGACACTACGAAATAACGCCTAAAAAGTTTGTTATGTTGTGTATGTGATCTATCAATGATAGGAGATTTACGAGCGCTAAATAATCAGGTTTAACTGATGGGCTGTTCAAACGCATAGTATTGCTGTTGATGTTTAATTCAAATTTAGCTGATCTGCACTGGACCATAAAGGTCTGAAAATAGAAAGGACAGAATTTTGAACAATGTGCCAAAGGTGTGCAACGACAGAGTTGTTACTGCATCTTTAGAAGATATGGTTAATAATCTCTCTGATAACGCTTGATTAGTCCATGCGTATTTCGGTAGATAATTACAGGATTGATGCAGAACTGCCGGTTGACTTGAATTTTAATTTTTTTCTTGTCGCTGAGCAAAAATCCTGTCATGTTCAATTTACCTTTTATGATATACTCATTATCAAGCCTCTAAAATAAAAAATGGATTCAGTATATTATAAATAGGGTTCTTTCAGTCATCAATCCGCAAGTGGAACACCAAATTATATTTGCATCGTGTAGCATATATATGGGCAAGTTATTTGACTTTTAATAATTTTTGTCCCAGTTCCTGATAATAAAATTGCTGGAGTATTTTCACTAAAGACAACCTGTCACAATCGACTGGCGATAATTTCAAACTGCGTGAATTCATCGGGACGATGAAGACTATTAAGATGTACACTTCCGTTTTAATTGCCATAGTATTTACTATACTACAACATGTTGATCTAATGGTAATCAGAATTAAGTGTGCGACACGATTGAGTTGTGCTGACGGATATCGATTTCGCGGATTTCATCCGTACCATAGCGGTTACTTCAGGAAAGACTGTGAACAGATTTAATATCTGTACGACGTGTTACGTTAAAGCTGCTCGTGGAAAATTCAAGTACCTTTGTGATTGTTCGCGTCTGACTGTAACTTTCGACTGACTCACTCGGTATCCCTCTTATGCAGTGAGTTTATCGCTGCTGTGGCGACGACCATCGCGTTTTCAGATGTTAGTAAATTGGTTTTAGATTCAGTCCTTAATGGCAAACGCAAAGAAAAAGCAAGACGATAAAAATTTCAAAATATTGCGCGAACTGGCGGCGCTTCCGAACAACAAGCAGTGCTTCGAGTGCCACCAACGCGGCCCTACGTACGTCGACATGACCGTCGGCTCTTTCGTGTGCACGTCGTGCAGCGGACTGCTGTAAGTTTCTTCGTTTGATTTACTTACGATCGCTTACTGCCTCAGGCGAGCACCGTCACTCAACCGTATGGCGTTTTTTCAGACGTGGCCTGAACCCACCCCATCGAGTGAAGTCAATTTCCATGGCAACGTTCACCGTCGATGAGATCGCTTTCATAAAGTCCAAAGGCAATGAGGTAGACAGTTTCATGTGTTTTGTTTCTTTTATGCTCGTTCTGTACCTCAGATTCTGTAAGTCGTTCGTCACGCGTTTGCGTTCATTTACGTTTTTTAAGGCTACTTGAGACGAGTAATGTTTCGTTCATTTTTACAAACGTATTCCATTTAGTACTAGCCCTTGCGGGGTTGCTTTTTTTCCGGGGTCAAGGGTCACCTTGCGCATTGATTCCATTCCCGGCGAGCATTGTAAAACGTTTTTCATAAGACCATTACTTTGAACGAAAGATGACGAATTTCGACTAAAATTTGACCGCGGTGTTCTCGATCATGAAACGGTCACGGGCTGTAGATTCGCCGTCACCAAAAACCTGACGATCAGCTTACCGCCAGTTACTGACACGTTTCTAAGCGTGCGTAAAATTTAAAATTGTCATCTCCTGTTCAAAAATAGAGGACGTGGTGATGCAGTTTCACAATGTTCTCTGAGGGTAAACAACTAACGTTGTAGTCGATGTTTCTAAAATCCGAAACCGCTTAGCGGAAAGTACTGTTCACTTAAAGCATCACCAACAGTCCAGGCGGTCGGCGCCATGGTGAAGTACCATGTTCTCATCAGGAATGAACGTTCGCTGAATTGCCCTTCGTACCATCCAGGTTCGTAGTTAGAAATATTTTTTATAGCTGTCTAACTGGTTACCACTGCCACATCACCTGATCGGACACCCTTCACAGCTGCAGCAAGGGCTAGCGAAGATATCTTTCGCTATTGTCGTTGTCAGAGACTAGCAAAGTTTCAACAGCAACGAAGCGAAAGTAGACCGATTTCAAATTGTATCAGACTTCAGTTAACCTATTGTCGCTGCTGCTGTAAAATTCAAAGTGATTGTCGCAAGTGGATCTGCCTCGGCGAGATGTTTCCACTTTTTATCCTGTATCCGTCGAGATGTGTCCGCCCTCTCCCGTACTTCTCCATGCTAAGCTATTTTTTGTTTCTTCTAGTCACTATCCGCCCTTCACTTTGAGCGTGCATTCTGCTGCGAAGAAATGAATCTTAATAAAGTTTGGAAAAGAGTGTTGTGTGGAATCTTCGTGCTGACAGGAATAAAAACAAGGCGTTGGTCGACTAGCGATACTCGATAAATTTAAAGCGGTATTATCTGTAGATTCGTAAAAGAAGTAGCTAAAGCACGTGTAAAGGTGACCAGGAATAAAGTTAACCTTCCTAATGTTTCGCCCATGTAGTTTTGCAATGTCGCAACTTCTCTACTTACTGACTCGACGGTCGCCGTCAGCTTTAAGCAGCTGATAAATAAGTCAGATGACAGCGACATGATAAAGTGACGGGATAGATGATTTATTTCTTGTGGGACCCTGTCTAGAGTACGGTGGTAAAAAAATAAATCATTTAATGTTTGCTGAGTTTGACTATCGCAAGTACCTGTTTTATTCACTAATGTCAGATTGTATTGATAAATAGTATCTTCACCCAAAATAGTTATTACCAGTAGGTATTTTCATCTAAAATCCTTCGCTGCACCTACATTATTCAGTAACAGAGCGAAGAATTTACGTCACCGCGCAGCAGCAGTGTGCAGTTGTGCATACCTGAAAAAGGTATGAGTGAAAAAATTGGCTATCTTGATGAGTTCTTGCTTCAAAATTCTTACTCGCCGACTTTTTTAACTGCCCCCTAGCCTTAACTAAGACCTCCATTAAACATACCCATAATCGCCATTGTGTTTACCTCCCCCCAACCGCTCAGAGTTTCAGAACAAGTCAAAAAATTCCGAATAAGCATGGGGTTTAGAGTCTACGGGGGCTAAAATGGGATAACACTAGGGATGTTTCTGTTTAAGAAACTCCTTCCAAGCAATCCAGGAGAAGCCCTTGATTTGGTTAATAATATAAGTACAGTGATTGCAGCTGACTTTTTATAGGTACGACCTGTTGATGGTTTAGCATCAACGTGAAGAAACATCTGTCCGTAATCCGCAGCAGTCTTGCTGAATACTCAGGCACTGCATCCCATTGCACTGATGAAGGACTTGTCGTCAGCGAAGCATGTGTTTCGGTAATTGACAGGGTTATCAGTATCGGGCGGGCTATTATTGAAAGAGTCCCATAACATTTTGGCACGAAAATACCATAAGTGTATTGAATATTCTCCATCATTTGGAATAGTCAAAGCAGTGGGTGAAATCAGTAATCTGTTATGAAGAATATCATTTCACGAGTCAGTAGAACACAGTTGCCACTCAAGAGTATGTTAATACTATCTGGTTATTTTGCAAACACGTACACTTGAGTTTTCCATTTATTCAGTTCAGATTATGTTATCGGTGATGGTAAGGAAACGCATCAACTGTTGGAAAAACTATTTTCCATCTCTCTTTTACGCTTGGGTTTCCTAATCATGCATAACGAAAATAGTCTTTTGATGAATTATGGTCTCAGGATCAAACATTCTTTCCAAAAAATTTTAGATTGTGTTGAGTATGGCCAAAATGAGCATTTGGATTGCTTAAGCTCTGTTCTGTAATAGTGACCACAATTCGCTGCTGTTGAAGCAAGATTTTATTTTCTTCTTCCGCCGTTGTTAGTTTTTGTTTTTCTCATACACAAAAACATTTTCGTCTTCAGAGAATTCACATGTGCAGGTAGCAGTCAAGGAAACAGCTGCCGCCTATTTCCCTGTATTTCTTCTTATTGTCATGATTCTGAAACTCGAAAATTGTCTATGCCGTTTTCTATTTTTCTGCCTGGTTTTAACGGCACGATCTGCTAGTACGCGTATTTTAATGTACTCCATGAATTAGCAATTATTAACAACAACTCCATGAATTAACTACTAACAATATTCATACACTGGTAGTTGGTCGGCGTGAGTATTTACTGTCTCGTACTTTGTTTACCGAAGTGTCGTAGCAGCTGAAGTATGGATCGACAGGCGAAACTTTCGACAAGCACATGTTCTTTATTCCCCACCTCTGACCTGACTCCGTTAATTTTAAGAATATTTATCAGTACTTTACGTCTGTGTCCTGAGTAGCGTTCAACATGTAAACTGCTCTTTGCCGTTCTTAGTTTTATGTTCACTTTTTTGATTTTAAGTCGGAAGAAAAATCAGAGATTTTTTCCAAATCTAGTGGTCACAGTTGAGTGGTGTTGGCGTGTACTTAGGTTACAACAGAAGATGTTCGAAAGATGGACTCTGTTGGCAAAATCACGGAACAGGTGATCAAAGGGACAGGGTTACAGTGCGCTATATGGCTAGGGTGTATCGCACATTTGACACGGTCGCGCCCTCTCCTTAGGATATGTTCGATTTGCGGGACACCTAGATAGTTACAATAGCTTCCTAGAGCGCTTATCCCTGACAATCCGTAAGGAATGGATGATTATGAACTAAAGGAAAGAAGAAAAACTCAAGGTAAACCATCTTTCGATTCATATGACAAATACTGGTTCTCCT